GTTGGAACATCTTGTTTCATTTTGTGAGGTACAGTACTTAACTGCTGCTAAATTGATTTTAATTTTGCACATGCTATTGGCGAATGATTAAAATGTGTCGTTATTCCTCTGCATAAAGTTAAAATTTCCTTGATGGTTTCTTGGCTAAATATAGAGTCATGAATACATAGCTGCAAAGTATGGATAAAGCATGGAATTGATGACATTCCACTGTTTTTTACTGCAGCCTTCATATTGCTTGCATTATTGGTAACAATAAGATGAATTTTGCTTAACGATATTTCAAAAGTTTCTAAACCTTTTTGTAAACACTCTTTTATATGAACACCTGTGTGCTTTTCTGGAAAATGAATTACTCAAAGAACAGCAGTTTCTTGGGAAAATTTAGTTTGATCTATCCAATGTCCAGTAATGCTTAAAAATGCGATTTTTGCAGTATCCGCTGTCCAAATATCTGTCGTCAGAGACAAATAGTTTGCCGCTAAGATTTTTATTTTTATATCTTTAAACAGTTCATCATACATGCTAGGGATTATGTTTTGGCTGAAGTATGTTCTACATGGTAACTTGTAATTGGGGTAAGCATCTTTAATCAGTTTATTAAACCCTGTATCTTCAACAATAGAAAACGGCTGAATATCCAATGTGATAAGTTTTCCTGAGATATCCAACGTAATAAGTTTTCTTATGGGTTCAAATAGATCTGTGGTCATCAATATTCCACTGTTTTATTTTGTGTAAAGCCTGAATGTTACTTTGAACTGTATTGGTGGTAGAAGCAACTGAGGCTTCAGAAATAGACGGCAATGATTGAACCTTTTTTTTTTCTTCCGCAAGTTCAAACTCTTTAGAATGCTTTAAATGCAAATGTTTTACCATTGCTGTAGTTTCATAAGACTTGAAAGATTTTCCTCCTCTCGTAACTAAATCATCACATAGTTTGCACTTACTCATATGAGGAGTCGTGCTTATATCAAAGAACTTCCACGCTATACTTTTTATTGTCATAATTTTTCTTTCAAATAAAATTTCTATAAAGAAAATGAAACTAGTTTTGATATCAAAGTTTTCGTTTATTTTATATAAAACGATAATTTTTTTAATAATACGCTCGAAATTAAAATATGAAAAATGTGTAGAATATTTACCTTATATCTCTATTTTTATGATTTTTGCTTGATACAAATGAAAAGTGCTATCAGCGTTCGAAAGCATTATAAGCGTTTCATTTAAAACTAAATTGCTAAAAATTATCTTGTGTTTTAACAGAATAAAAAGAAACTATTCTAAAACTTTTTTTCCCATTCTTTTTTTTTGTATTCTCGAATTATTTCATTTAGCGCTACAGTTTTTGTATCCGTATAAATTTTTTTGCAAAAATGTATTAAAAAATATTTCAAGTGAGATTGTTTTAAGTTAATAGAACTTTGTGGTTATTGACTACATAACACTCTAAGACTTATATCAAGAAGTTTAATGGTTAAAGTTTAAACTAAAGGAAATATATATGTATATATATATGTATGAACATATATATATATATATATATATATATATATATATATATATATATATATATATATATATATATATATATATATATACACATAAATACATATATATATGTTCATATATATATATATATATATATATATATATATATATATATATATATATATATATATATATATATATATATATATATATATATATATATATATATATATATATATATATATATATATATATATATACATAAATACATATATATATATACACATATATATATCATTTATATACGCATATATAAATATATATATATATACATAAATACATATATATATTGATATATACATAAATACATATATATATATGTTAATACATATATATACATATATACACATATACATACGCATATATATATATATACATATATACATAAATACATATATATATATGTTCATACATATATATACATATATACGCATATATATACGCATATATATATATATATATATATATATATATATATATATATATATATATATATATATATATATATATATATATATATATATGAATATATATATATATATACGCATATATATATATATATATATAATATATATATATATATATATATATATATATATATATATATATATATATATATATATATATATATATATATATATATATATATATATATATATATACATTGCAAAAAAATTGCTTTAAGTTGACCTTAAACTATTTTGTTCAGCAAAAGATCAGCCCAAAATTTTTATAAAATTTTTATAAAGTTGAGGTTGGTAATAAAGTGTTGACCTCATACACTTTTTGTTCAACAACTATAATTTAAAACGCAAAAAAAATTTACGTGACTAAGCCAATTGAAACTGAATATTTAACTTTTTTTATACAAAAAAATGAATAATTGAAATCATTTTCAATTTTTTTACTTTTAAAATCCAGAATAATTTTTTAACTTGAGCTTTACTATTTAAAAACCAGCATTTAGAGGAATGTAAATTTTTATAACTCTTCTGGTAAATTTTGTTCTGAATAAATTAGCAATGATATAATTAATCAACTAAATAAAAAGAAAGTGTTAATAAAATTTGACTATAAATTGTACTATATGTTTTAAATATTATAATCTATTTACTATTTTTACATAATTATGTATCATTTGAGGTTGGCATTGACCAGTATAATTCTAGAGGATAATATAATAACTATAATAACTGTTTAATTGAATAAATGTATAATTACAATCTGCTATAAAAGATTTATGTTTTCACTAATGTATAAAACCAAACCTGTTCTTTATCATGTTTAAACTTTTCAATGTGACTCACACTTTCATTTCGATTTTGTTCTACTGTCTCTTTTACGCAAAGAAAGAATAATTCAGTTTCAGAGTTTCTTTTCAGTCTTTCTTCTATCCCATATTTAAAAAGTTTATCACAAACTTTTGTAAAATTTTCCTTGTAAGACTGAAGCAAACTATTTACGCCAGAGATTTGAGACAGATGTGCCACTTCAGTATCTTCTGATAACATTTCATCAAAAAAGCATTCTACACCATCAACAAATGCTTCCTAATAATTTTGCTTATATTCAAATAATTTTCGAAAAAAAAAAAAAAAAAAAAAAAAAGATAAAAGTTAAAAAACAGTAAAAATTAGCAACAAAAAGGTTAGATGTTTACAAAAAATAGTTCAAGATATGCAATCTATGATATAGAATCAAAATCATTAAAAATAAATGAATACACGATTGATTGTTAATCTAGCTTGATTTTCAATATCTTGCTTTAAATTTTGTTCTAAAATTTCATCATTTCGTATTAACTCATCTATTATGTCTCGATATTTTTCCACTGCTGTTTTTTTTTTAACTGAATCCACTAATCTATAGTCCAAATAAACCAATGAAGGAAGATGAGCAATGGTGTAAGCATGATAATCTTTATCCTTAGATATAGGATTTCCCTCCAAGCTCAAAGCATTTAGAAATTTGAACCTTCGTAAATAAATTAACTATAAATAAAGAATATCAAGATAATATAAAATATAATATAAAATATGATGCAAAAAAAAAAAATTAAAATAATATGTAATATAATTAACCAATATGTTGAAAAAATAATAAATCAATTTGTGAATTAGTATTTTTATCTGTTTATTCTGTTGTTTAAAAAATAATTTTATAGTAAACCGTTTTATTTTAAATGGATTCATACATTTTCTAGATTGTGAATGGTATTATTTCCTAATGAAAGAACATTCAGCTTTACAAGTGTGTCCATGTTGTTGATCACACTTATTCTATTATTAAACAATGTTAAATCTTTCAGCTGTGTTAGGTTATCAAGTCCTTCTATATATTCAATGTTGTTGAATGATAAATCTAAAATGTAACATTTTATTTCAATTAGCATAAAATAAAAATGATAAAAAAATTTTTTTTAAGATAATTTTCCAATTTTCATAAATAACTCATCATAAAAAGCAAAACAAATCTGGCAGAAAAAAACAGTAGTTTCATCCAGGGCTATGTAGTTGGAGTTGTGACATTTTAAGCAGAGTCAGAGCGGCTAAACAAAATTGCGACTCCGACTCTAATAGTAAAACTTCTCAGTATTGCACATGTATGTAGAAAATATATTTAACCTTTAAAGAATTTTCTATTTTGGCAAAAAAAAAAAATTTAATTATTGTGTAATATTTTTTAAAGAATTCAAAGAATTTTTCAAAAATTTTGGTTTGGAGTAAGAGAGTCATACTCTGAAAATTTCGACGATTGGAGTCAGAGTTGGAGTTGGTACTTTTTTTTTATGACTCCACACCTCTGGTTTCATCAAACTAAAAAAAATAGTGTTGTCAGGAAACAACTAAAATAAGAATAAACACTTTAGGGCACAAACAATAGCAACCTAACCTAGCAAAGATAGATAAAAAAAAATTACTATAGAAAGGTCATAGCAAAACCAGTCACTAAATATAGAATAGAGGTATGGAGTACAAATTGTAAAATAGAGATTTTATGCAGGTTTGGTTGAAAGCAAGTGCGATTGCACTTTAACCCTGACCACGGCTTTAAAATGTTATGAGAACATTTAAATTTATGTATGTTTCCATGTATGTTCAAAAAATTAAGTTTCAAAACCCTCGAACTAACTTTGTAACATTCATCTTTTGTTATCAAATGTTTCTATATTAGCAAAACACTTTTAAACAAAGCGACAATTTATTGTTTATGAAAAAAAAAAAAAATTTTTTTTATAAACAATTATTAATTTTTTTTAAAATTATATAAAGTTGAGAAAATTTTATCAAAAAATTATATCAAGTTTAGCAAATTATATAAATACAGATAAACTTTTTATTATTTAAAAAGTATGGCTTCTTTTACGTAAAAATTAAATCTTTTAAAACAACTTGTACAATTGATTTTATAAAACAATATTTTCATTGACAATTGCACTTTTAACAAAACTTTATTAATAATCATTAAAGTTAATAAAACTTCAAATAAACATACAGGAACTTACAGGCAACAGAACATAATGATACATATCGTCGCTGCAAAACAAAACTATCTTAAGTCCATTTTTAGCAAAATTGCCTTTTTTGGTTTAAAATACTCCTTAGGTGCACTAAAGTCATCTCACAAAGTATGGAACCAAAAATGATTCAACTTTTGCAACTATGAGTAAAACTCAAATATCTTATGTCCTAAAAAAAATAATTAAGAGACATTGTTGCTGTACAGTAAAACTATCTTAAGTCCATTTTTTTGGCAAGAAAAAAAACTTTTTTGGTTTAAAATACTTAACACATAATAAATAACTAAAAACAAGTAGATTTAAAAATAGTAGTATTTAAAAAAATCGGAAGCAGTGATTAAATTTAAAACTTTAAATGTCTTTTTCTCAGAACAGCAAAAAGGACCTAAGATTGTCTTGTTTTGCAGCGGCAATTTAATTTGTAGAATTTTGAAATATTTTATATAGTTTTAAAACCATCTTAAGTCCATTTGCTTCTTATAAACTTGTTGCTTCTTATAAACTTAAAATTTTATTTTTATTTGTTATATTATGAAAAATAATAACATATTCTATAAGTATTTTAAAAACAATTTAGTTTAATGGAGGAGATCAAGCGCAGGGATGAATTAAAAACTTTAAATGCGTTTTTCTCAGAACAGAAAAAATGGTTTTAAGATAGTCTTGTTTTGCAACGACCATATATACATAGCAAACTAGTAGTAGATGAAAACCGCACCAGAGGTTCAACAAAACTCAAACGCAGATTTATATAAAGTGACTTGCAGGTGAACCAGCACAGTGCAAGAGGTCCATATAGAATACAAACATTAAAAATTAAAAAACTCACTTACTAAACATCATTAGGGGTATTGTTAAGCAATTCCATTTCTTCTTTATAAATGATTTTTTACCTTTTTACTTTAACCATAAAAGTTTGCTTTCAAATACAGTATCGTCCACAATTACTTTCATCATGTCAATAATTACTTTTGTTGCAGGCATATCTTGCATGTATTGCACAACATATCTTGGATCACTTAAAGCTGGTCTCAAATCTTGTTCAATCCACTCATTCATGCTACCATCATTAAAGGCCCCAACCTTTAGTTTAAAACTAATACGTTCCATAACTGAAATAATGGATATTAGGCTAACATTCCTTCCTCTCTGTATGGGGACTGTAATATACGGGTACCTCCCAATCTATCCATATTCAGTGAATATCCATATTCAGTGAAGATATTCAAAATATCCATATTCAAAATATCCATATTCAAAATATCCATATTCAGTGAAGAAACCAGAGTTTATTTAGGGATACCCCTTTTTTTTGTGGCAATGTGCGGGGGAATGAATGTTTTTGAGGACTTTCTCCCCCTCTCCCCCTCCTCCGGTGCCACGACAATGATTTTTCTCATCATTTTTTCAATCATTATATTAATCATTTGCTTTTACCTTGTTTAATTTTATCCTAAGATAAGGAGTTGAAGCATTAAAGCATTAAATTAAAGGCATTTTTTTAAATACATGAAATTACCGGTGGACGATGTTATTTTAATTATGATAAGAAAACTATTTTACTTAAGACTTTAACCCTTTTCTTGCAAATACCACTCTATACTAAATAAATATTGAAAATTGTTTAAAACTGTTTTAAACATTTATTAACTGTATTTTAGCAAATTTAATTTTAGTAGTTATATATTTTATAAATAATTAGTAATTAAATGCTTTATACTTTAAAAAATTTTTAATCAGTATTTACATTACATAATATATTTACATTTATAAATCGCGTAATATTTGTAAAACTATCATTCAAAAATTAAATTTGCTTGATAGTTATAAGGACAGAAAGTTTTTACTTTTTTTTTCATTTATTATCAAAAGCAATTTACTCTTAATTGCTAAAAAACAAGTTAACTACATTCTGTCTTTCGAAAAAGAAAACTTTTAATTAATTTCGTTGTTATAAAATATCACTACAAGTTTTTAAAATTGAGTTCAGTAAAAAAAATTTTATAAAACTAATGTTCAATTAGTAACTGAAGAACAGGTACTTTATGTAATTACGTTAAAATGTCACATAATTTTGTTAAAAAGCAACTTCTTTTTAATTCATTTATTGACTAGAGGGAAAAATAAGGTAGCTAAAATAAACTGAAAATTATTTATATACTACTGCATTTAAAACTGAATTTTTTTTTCTGTTTTAAATAATAAAGCGAAAGAAAAATAAAAAAAATTAAAATAATTTTTGGACACTCTTTATTTAGGCACCCATACCGCTCCAGCAGTACTAAAACAGTTCTGGGTTCGTCCCTGATAATGTCGTGAATTGTGCAAGTTAAAACTGTTTCATCAATATAAAAAAACTCAACAACTACAACGAAAAGAGAATTAAAACAAATGGGACATACCCCATTTCCTTTAACTATCTTTTAACTGTAGTTGTCAAGCATTTATATTCTCTCTTTAATTAATTTCTCTCCTTCTTTCAATATTATCTTGTGTCGCTATGCCACGTTTTTTAGGAATAGTATTTTGATCTTGTTCAAGATTTCGTATCCAGTTTTAAATTGTCCTGATTGAATGATCTGTTCCATTTGTGATAAATCAACTTGGTTTGTTGGTATTCATCAATCATTTTATTGTAGAAATATTTTATTCAGCTGTAGTTTTGTTTTTTGTTTGTTCTTCGGTTTCCACATTTGAATTAATTGGGTTTGTATTGTTTTTGTTTCTTATTATCGACAAAGTATTTTTATTAAAAAATAATTGTGAACTGCAACAAATATAATATATATTATAGTATAATAAACCCATGGAATTAAGTAAAACATAAAGTTATTAAATATATACTTAGTATGCAGTTTGGATCAGCATCTATAATGATCAGTTTATTATAGACTGCGGATTCAACGGTCTTGCACATTGCAGAATTGTTTTAAACATTTTAAAGACACTGCTAAAAGAAAAAATTATTTTAGTATTTCTACAGTAATTCAATGTTTTAATTAGTTTATAAATTATTAATTCTAAACGTAGTTTGTTTGGTTTAAATTAAGATTTTTTTGTTTGTTAAAAGTTCTCTTTTTTAAGTTTAGTTTTTTTTGTAATTGTCTTCCATCAATCAAGTTGAATTTTTTTTGAATTGTTCTCAAAACATCTAAAAAGCTGTAGCCAAGTTATCACAACTAAATATTAAAAAAAAACTAGTTAAGTAAAAGATTTTAAGGATATGGAAACATTAGGAGTTCAAAAGTATAACTTTGCTGAATGACAAGTCATAAAAAGTTATGTTTTGTAGGTGGAATAATAGATAATTGCTTATTTAAGCAGCCACCATGGCAGTATTTATAAAAGACAACTTTAAAACAGACTAAGAATTAAACTTAACTGTTAAAGCTGGTCGAACTATATTTACAATGCATTTTTGCACCTTTTATAAAAGAGAAAGGGCATCATTAATTAAATTAGTCCAAATATGGGTCTGAGTCTTGAATAAACTTTTCTTTTTCAATAGTATTTAAGTCATTCTTGATGGACAACACTTTTCTTTGTTTTCAGTAACTCTGGTATACTACAAGGTTCCACTCAGAGCCCCATATTGTCATTTATCTTGTCATATTTGGGCTGTTTCTAGTGATCAAAAAGTTATGACTTGTCAAGACTGGATTGAATAGTTGTATTATTAGTAAACAAAGCCACTATAAAAAAAGGATTTTCAGGAAGATCTTTGTTAATGTAGACTAGGGACAATATGGAAACATGGATAAAACCTTGCATTAGTTTAGCAATAGTTTTTAGCAAAAAGATTCTATAACATCTTGATGTGGTGGAATGAGTATATTGCTCAACAAAAAAATAAAATAAATATAATTTATATACATAAATCATTTAATTACAATTTTAAAAAATGCCAATACTTAATCATTAAAAACTTAATAAAAGTTGAAATAAAAAGTTTATTTTTATTATCGCTGGAATGTTTTTGTTAACCTTTTTAAGCCTTCATTACAGTAAATCATAAAAGCATGAAGTCGTTAAGATAAAGAAAAACCAATCAATAATCTTTGCGAAAATTTAATAAAAATTTAAAATATATTTAAAACATTGAGTATGCAGACAATATGCTATTTCTTTCATAAGCTATTGTAAAAATTATATATATTTTTAAAAAAAGCTCTGGACTAATCTTAAATAGTTATTGATCATTATAAACTGGCTACAGGTGGCAAAATTAATGTCATAGAAGACATAGAAAAACACTTATGATACTATAGGATTGAAAGATCAATGCAATCAATGTTCAGGCATACAGTGTTTTAACAGATTATATTATTTAGAATGAGACGTTTGACAAATAACACATTCTTGGAGGAGCCAACTTTACACAAAAGATTTTCGTTAGCAATCATATGAAACAGTGGTATGTAAAAATAATTAGGAATTAAATATACAACAACTATGAAATAACAATTATGGATTAAAGGTTTAGAATGACTTAAATTTGAATTATTTAAATTGCATTTATGAATAAAATTTGTTAATGATGATAACACTCTTACTTTAAAAAATATTAAATACTAATTTTTCAACATATTTATGGTTATTAAATATATTTTAATTACTTGATAATTTTGAGAAAACTAGTAAAATAAAAAGCATGTCTATACTTTGATAAATAAAAGTTAAATAAAAAATAATGTTTCAAAACCCAAAAGTATATATTTAGTTTTTTACTGCATTATACTAAAACTTGAAATCATTTTGGTTGCTAACAAAAAAATATACCTAACCACTCTAAATGAACAAGTGATGAAAGCCCTTCAATTTTCTCTATTATATTGTTATCAAGTTGCAATTTAGTTAACTGAGTAAATTGCCACAAGTTTTCAATCTTTAATATATCTAAAACACAAAAATTAAACCAACCAAAAAAGTAAACAGATATATAATGGAAACATATTTGCAGAGAAATTAAGTTTACTTTTATAATCAAGAGCCAACTCTTTTACATTTTTGAAGTCAATTTCTTCTTTTTTTGCAATTTCTCCTGCTTCCCCTTTTGGGCCTTGTTCTCTCACACATTGAGTAAGCAATTTTTCACTTATAATAACTGGCTCGTTATCAAGGTCAGACATTGTTCAAATGACAAGAAGATTAATACTTTTAATAATTTATTGCAATAGTTCAATATTGTTTAAATATTCAAAAAAAAAAAAAAATTAGTCTAAACCAATTACAGAAATATATATATATATATATATATATATATATATATATATATATATATATATATATATATATATATATATATATATTACTGCTCTGTTCTTTAAGAACATTTAGCAATAATAAAAAGTTCTATTTGTAGAATACACTAACATAATTTATATATATATATATATATATATATATATATATATATATATATATATATACATATATATATATATATATATATATATATATATATATATATATATATATATATATATATATATAAATCTTATTAAATATCAAACTAAAATTACAAAAAGTTAAAAATTACTTCTTATTTCTACAAAACAAAAAACTTATTGAATATATTGATTGATAATAATTGTGTTCATAGATAACCAACTTTTAAAATGTAGAAAATTTTCTTGCTGTAAAAAGTAATGAGCAAATTTAAATATTACATTTTCATTAAAAGTAAATAAGTAATTCCTATTCATTTAGAGTAACATAACAAGAACACAAAAAAGTAAAATATTCTTTTTAAAATAATGTTAGTAATGAAATGTTTTCCACAGAAATAATCACCATTTATGGAATTAATTTACATTAAGTATTGAAGTATAAAAGCAGCTAATTAAATTTAAAAAATGCTTAATAATAACTTGCTTAAAAATTCAGGTCATTTTTCATGTTAAAATTTTTTCTTTACTTTTCATATGAAAAATCACTCAATTTCTTATTTCTATTTGCTTTTTATCGGTGAATTTTTTTTTAATCAAAAGATATTATCTTTTAACTTATTTTTAATTCATTTTTATTAAATAATTACATAAATACTTAATCAATAAAAAATATTCTTTAAATTATTTGAGCAGCCACCATGGCATTTATATTTACCAATTAGATAAACTAAACTTTAATATAAAGATTAGTTTATCTTATTGGTAAATATAAATGATTTTTTAGGGTGAATTTTATAAAGTTATGTATAAATATAGAAAGGATCTTTAAAAACCTAATTAGCTTAAATCATACCTTTACATAAAAAGTATATGTTGTTGTATAGAATTTTTTATTACTTTTTTAAAAAATAAAGCATCAGATAAACAACCATATTCATTTTTATAAAAAGCGTAATAACAATAAAATTTTTATAGGTTTTAGCTTTATGCTATTTGCTACATATTAAAATATTATTTAAAAACAGAAGAAAAAAAAACAACAAAGAAAAAAAAATTTAAATAGTAAAAAAAATATACTAAAAACTAACATTAATTAAAATGTTTATTTCTAGATAAACAAAAGATATTAAAGTAGATTTTTATGTCATTTTTTATATAGAAAAATTATATAAAATGTTTAAAACAAAAACCAAACTTTTGATTTTTTATTACTAACATATCAATTCAATCAAAATAATATGCAGAAAGTTATCAGGATGACTTAGATGTTCACTCATCCATTGTAAAGGGGTATTCAGCATTGGTGTTATTCCTTGAATAATAACTTTCCAGTTTTTAGAATATTTTGAATGATCATTTTCATCCAAAATAAAAGGCAGAAAAGTTTGAAAAAAGTTTCCTAATGTGTTAAGTTCTCCTTTCTCTGATACAGATTTACAAAATTTCATCAACATTGGCTTATATCTTTGATGTACTCGCAGAGGAATACAACGAAAAGGTTCACTATTTACTCTTTCCATTAGTTTTTTATTGATTGACCAAAATTGATCATAGCGATCATTTGAAAGCCCCATCCAGAGCTGCTTATGATCATTTCTTTTCATGGCATTTATTACTACAGAACGGTGTTTCAATGAGTCTGCTTCTTTTACAGCAGACATAAAATGTGCTTCAACTGCATCTCGCCCATGACACTTCATAATTTCTGTTTCAGGAAATTTTTTAAAGTGTAAAGTAACTGGCCATGGCAAAACATTTTCTCCATATAAGTCATAAAGAACTCCAATAGGATAATGCCACTTAAGGGGTTGGCCATTATATTCCAGCCACATTTTATCAATATCATCTTGATTACTTGCTTTTTGGAAATGCCTAAATACTTTGTCTGTCACAAGTGGAAAATAACTCATACGTGGAACGAGAAGATAACATGGTTCAGGCTGATCAACTGTCGTAATTTCATCAGGACTTATGTTAAAACAAATTGGTAGACGTCCCTCCCATATTTCTCTAAGAACCTCCTTGTCGTCTGCCATGGGTTTTGTTATAACTTTTTCTTTACTTCTAAATATTATATATATTTATGTACTAATATTTCGAAAAGAATATTTATATTTTTTTATTCAGAATAAATTTTATATTTAAAAAAAGAAAGTTTTAATTATGCAAACTACTTTGTTTAAAAATTTTGAAAACAAGAGAACTTTTTAAAATACTTTTTAATATGTAATTTAATATGTAATGTAATTTTTTAATGTAATTTAATATGTAATTTAGCCTAAATTGCATATATATATATATAAAAAAAAAGATAAAACTCCTAAATTTAAGGAGTTGAATTTTTTTAAATAATTGGTGCTCTATACATAAAATACGAGTAAACCTTGTGAGTAAAATTGCTCACAACCTTGTGAGTAAATTTACATGATAGGTACAGATAAATTGTTGCTATATTTTAAAATACAGTTTTCTTAGACAATAACAAACAATAACAAAGGTTTAGGCTGAGCGTAAGCCAGAGCGTCTCTATTATTGACCACAGTTGCGCGTACTCACGTACTTTACTTGTAACCGAAGTACTCTAGCGGAGACCGATGTTGCGGTAAACTTCAATAAATTAGAACTTCGAAGTCTTAAGTTCCCGGTAAAATTTTGACGTCATGACTTGCCAGATGCACGGTCGCCTAAAGGAGGACATAGACGACAAAGAAGACAACTTTTTTAATAGTGTAGGGGGGGGGGTAAGACTTCGATCTTCTAGTTATGGTACTGATACCGGGCGAGAATAAATGTTATATAAGAACAATATGTCACAGTATACAAAGATACTGTGTAATTAGCAGGTATTTTAAACTATTACTTAATAATAATAAAAACGGAAAAATACCAAGTGTCGCAACAACAATTAACATCCTAACGAGATTTTAAATTATCTTTAACTACGCATCTATTTAATCAAGTTGTTGCAAACTCGCGTAACTTTCTCCAAATTACAATTGCAACTAATACTTTTCAATAATAAAAAAAAAAAGATTGCAACGTTCAGGCATACAGTGTTTTAACAGATTATATTATTTAGAATAAGATTTTGACAAATAACACATTCTCGGAGGAGCAGAATCAACTAAAAGGCTGTTCTTTTCCTTTGTCCGTTGAGCATTAATTAACGAGAACACTCTTTCGTTGTGTCCTATGATGCAGAAGAATACTTTACAAACTTTAAGCATCTCTGAGAAGCAACTCGCATTTGGAAAAGTTTTAAAAGATACAACCCACTGTTCATGCAAAGGTATTTCAAAAAACTGCTCATTTTTGCCATGATAATTAAAAATAAAATAATATTATATTACAGTATTAGAAATAATTTTAGATTACAGTATTGGTCAAACAGTTGTACATTATCCAAAATGATATCTTTTTCTTTCAGGTATAAAATAAATACTCAAAGATCATCAAATGTGCTGTCTTTTACTTTATTTTAAAATATCCAATCAAAGCACTAAAATTTATTAAAAGATTTCACCCACTTTTCTATGTAAAGAATGCACGCTTCGTACACTAACTTAACTTTTTCTTTAAACTTTTTTAATATATCTTTGACTTTAAGCGGTGTTTCATTTAACCGACTTTTTAAAACTTCCAAAACAAAAACCTTCAAAACAAAGGTAGTGAGAAGAAGGCTCATAACTTTTAAAACTAGCGTTTCTTCCCTTTAAACTGTTGCAATATTAACTTGAAAGACTGACAATTCATTCTCATTGTAACAGGTGGTTAATCTGCAGAAGAAAAATATATTTTCAAAATATCAAATAACTTCAGCAATTTTTCAATAACATGAAACAAACCTAACCTTCTAGTTTCTAGGAAATATTTTCTGTGAACCGTGATAGCTAGCATCTTTGGAAAGACCGAAACATGACGTGCTATCTAATGATTTCACCAATTGATCAACAGTGTTGGGGCCAATTACCTGGTTTATGGTTGCCTTAGTTTTTGTTAAAGAACATGCGGTATTTTTTTCCATTTCCGAATCTTTAAATATTGTGCGCATTAAACCAGCTATGCAGGCCATCGAGTTGTAAGACTGATGAAGACAAACTGTATGAAATTCTAAAGTTGCTTCAGCTGCGTGGACTTTTTGCAATATCTTTGAGTTTTTAGGTTGAAAAAAGGACGTCAACTTATTTGATGACGCTGACACTTTGATTAGGTTTTTATGCTTCTCATTGCTAATTTTATTTTTTTAGAAAAAAAGTTATACAAAGTGCAAGTTGAAAGTAATGGAAAAGTAGGATATGTTACTTCAAAAATTGTTCCAACTCATCCATCTAAATATATCAAAAGTAAAGTAACTCTGACTTTAGTAACGGTGAAAGAGAGACTAAAAGGGTTGGCAAAAACCCACGTTTTTTTATGTAATTTTGGTTTTTTTTTGTGTAAGTTTGGGTTTATTTTTATTTAGTACCTGTTAAATTTTTTTTTTTTTGTTTAACGATTTGAAAATTAGTATAGCTTTCTACTTTAACTTTATTTAAAATATATTTTGTATAATGTTATTCAATAGTTTGTAACAAGAATTTTTCAAATTATTTTAAAAAAATTTTAAACGTAATTAAAAACTGTATTAGAAAAAAAAATTTCACGTTAAACCTATATGTATTGATTATTTTTAGATTTAAAAGTAATACTTTTTAAAACTTAAAATGTCAACAAAAAATGAAAAAAAGAAGGCTGGAGATGGAAGGTTTGAATTGAACTTCAAATTTGAACTTAAAATTCAAAGAACAATTTTTTTCTCCGTGCAGCAGCCTTGTTTGAAAATGTTCGTGTTTCTGAGTTAAAGAGATGAGAGAGGGTTGTAACCACAATAAGGTAGCCTCCTCGACTGTAGTGGCTTTCTCAGCAGTGGAAGGTGAATAACATAAAAAATAAAAAAGTGACATCTCAATCTGTAAAAATATTTTAATAAAAAATTGTGATAATGTATTTCCAAATAATGACTCAAATATTAGTAAATCTGCTCTGATGTTATTGTTGGTTAAATAGTTAATAGTTATAATGATAATGTATATTATATATAAATATAAAAGTTCCTAAAATTGTAAAATATCTATTAAAAACCCAATAAAACCCAGATTGCCTAGATTTTATTGGGTTTTTTTATTGGGCGGTTTTTTTTAATACCAACCTTGAAGACTAACGAAAATTTTGCCCCATTTACGAGCAATTTTAGTAGATCTAAAAGGAAAAGAAAATCTCCAACAGCTTCAGCTGTTTCTTTAGTAAAGAATGTATGGCTAAGTACACACCAAAGCAAAAAAACGTCATCAATTGCCAGAAGAAGATAATAATACTGCAACTCCAACAAATGCAGTTACAAAACAGTTGTGAAATAAGCTGATAGAATAAAAAAGAATTAAAAAATGTAATAAAAAAATCTTCACGGACTCTATATTTTGTTGACAAGAAGATTAAACAGAAAGTAAATTGTAGTTTTAAAAAACATTGGCAAATAAAGTTGGCAGCCTTGTTTTCAGAGGATGGCAAAGACAAAAAAATTGTTTCAGACAAAACAAGAGTTTATAGCCAAAATGGTTGTTCCACAATATATTGGTTGCCAGCATCATGTTCTAGAAATACAGGACTTCATATTGAAAAGGCTAAAATCATTAAAAGCGTTTTTTGCTATATGGAGAAAGTTTTAAATTTTTTTTTATTATAAATAAAATATCTTTAATTTTTAGTTTAAAACTCATTGTGTGGTACCATGGCCATACAAGATTTAAGTTTACAAAAATTATAAAATAAAAGCTAAAGTTTGATTTATTTATTGATAGTTTACATTAAAAAAAAAATGTTTACAGTTTTATTCTTTGCTTCATTTAAAAACTTTTAAGAAATCAATAAATACCGAGGTAAAAGAGGTTCTGGACACTTTAAGGCAATGGCCTCGCATAGAGATAAAAACACTACATATGAAAAGATTCTATAAAGATTTTTTTTTTGCATAATATTGTTGCTGATGTTAGTGACACACCTCTCACAACGATGTTAAGAGCTAAAAACGCCAAAAACAAGGAGATATAAAGTCTATATTTATGAAATTAAATCAATACCAGTATCATCAAGAGCTATGAAACAGGTTGGAGTGGACATCTGTAACCTTCCAGTAGTCGATGTATATTGTCATGTCGTCGTCTTGATTGACTATTTTTCAAATAGTCGGTTTTTTTCAAAAAGTCAGCATCCTTTTACAAACTACTCTCCATTCATGCTGATGTTTTGCCACTTGATGCGAAAATGAGCTAGCTCATTCTTTAAAAACAAAAATAGCCCCGGGCCCCAGGAGTCTTAATCCGCCACTGTGTTAAAGTTATTTAATAAGAAAGTAGAAATTAATTATAATCATAAAATAGACGCAGTAGAAGTACAACAGACAACTACTTCATTTAATAAAAAGTTATCACATATTACATTGTAGATATGATTGTATAGATTTAATGCGGTCCCTCAACAATTGGGATCTGGGAATGGATTGTCCCATTGTCGAAGCAATCCTTTTTTTATACTGTTTTGCTCCATTATTATATTAAAAAAAAGAAAGCAAATATAAATTACTTTTTTTTTATTACAATGTATTTCAAAAAAAAAAAAATTCCCATAACTTCGACTAAATCAACTTAGTCGATTTCAATGAAAAGACTCGCAGGTAAAAAGTAAAGTTTTTAACAAAAAACCATTTAAATATACAGCTAAGAAATTTAATAAGCTTTTTTGCGTTCACTAAATAATATTTTAACCGTGCAACAATGTCCAATGGAATTACAGTATTGAAATAGTTAATATTTGTCCAAATAGCAAATCAAAAATGATTATGCAAAGGGAATTTTTGTGTATCAATATCGCGTATCTTAACAATAATATATACTTCTCAATTAAATTTTTAACGTTTTTTCTTGACTAAAACAAGCAATATTGAAAAACTGTATTATATTTCATTCTAACAAAATGAATTCAAAAAGAAGAACAAGTTTAG